AAACCCGCAGTCGCGATTTTTCCGAGCCACTGCCTTTAAGGTGGATTCAGCTGAGGGCTACGGTATGGAACGTATCTTAAAGGCAGCGTCTCGGAAAAATTGCGACTGCGTTTTCACAATTACAGCACCTTCTGGACCAACTTTGTCCGGTACTGTGCATGAGCAGACAAAAAAGTGCTTTTGGCGTTTTTCGGCCTTTGGATTGCTGGAGTGGCGCGGTGAGGGATTCTAAGCAACTATATCGCGATTGGCTGCCTGGATTGATCAGCCAATTGCCGCCAAAATAGGTGGAGTTACTGTCCTACAGCCAATTGCTCCTGTTGGTGGGATTCCTTCGTCTCAACCCTTCAGCAATCTTCAAGGCCGGAAGACGTCAAAAAATGCTTCTTTGACTTTTTAAGCACAGTACCCACTCATTGTCAGCTGGTAAAGAAGTGCATGTGGTTGTGGAAAGCCAGCAGTCGCAATTTCTCCAAGAGACTACCTTTGAGTGCTAGCTTAGATATATCTATTGGTAAACCTTTTATAAAATAATTGGGAGCTTGTACTTTGTAGATGCATGGGGTCTATGCCGTTGTCGATACTCCCTGTGGAAAGGTACGGTGTTTTTTATTGTTTACCCTCATAGGATCTCATGGCAATCTTTTTAGATGTTTGTTAGTGAGATCGAAAACGCATTATGCGCGGTTTCTTTCAATCCAGACATCGATGATGCGATCAGAATTTTGCACTTCAGCTATCCATTAGTACAGTTCACTGAGGGACATGTGTCTAGTGCAGAAAATGTGAGATTTTGTAGGGGTTTTGTTCTTTTCAATGGTCGTAAAAAAGGGGAAGTTAGTCATGTAAAAAGTATAGCCAGAATAGCGTACAAAATTGCAATATACAATTTTTACATTCAGATTTTGAGACTCCTCAACGGTGAAGAATCTACTGAAAATATCCGCATTTCCAAACTTGTTTTCATGCGTTGTTCGGAATTCCAAAGGAAGGTCTACGAGCATCTAATGCGCATTCCTCGAGGAAGCACTAAGAGTTATGCAGAGGTAAGAAACGATATTATTACAGTTTTACAATAAAATGGGGTTATTCGAATTTAGTATTTCTTAAGGTTGCTAAATCAATTGGACATCCCACAGCTTATCGAGCAGTCGCCAGAGCTTGTAGGGACAATTTTCTAGCCGTCGTGATCCCTTGCCATCGAGTGGTCACTTCAGATGGATCGCTGCGAGGTTATCGTTGGGGAATTGAAGTCAAAAAGAAACTTCTAGAGATGGAGCGAAAGAAATAATACAAGAGCTGAAATTTCTGATCTCATTAATCACGGTAATGCCTTATCTGGTCACTCTTGTAATTGAGATCTCTCTGGTAATTTTTGTAATGGTAGATTCTCCTA